AACTATCACAAAAAGAGTCGCTATAATCCCAATAACAGCAAAGATGGCTGGAACAATGGAGTAGAGTGATCGCCATCTCATATGTTTCAAATGATTGATTGATAGATCGTAACATCCTTTTCGGTCATCGGTTGGCCACCTGTAAATATTGCTTGGTTTCTTGCTTCTTTGACTTCATTCGTTTTTTACATTCTCAGCTTCAAATGTTCTAAGTTACTCTCTATCTGATCTTGCTTCATGCTTGAACAAAAGAGCATGATTCAGGCAGGAGCTGGTCCTACGCCGAAGACATTTGAAAGCGTTTTCATCCCTTTTCAAGAGTTTCTTTTGCTTTGCTAAATGTTTTGCATCTTTTTTCCTCTCTGGTTTTCTGAAAACAGCCGAAAAGATTGTTTTTTTTACGAGAAGCAGATATTCACCCCCTTCACTTCTGGGTCCTGACTCTAGACTAGCAAAGGTATGTGCTTTTAAACTATTTTATAGGTTAAGCTGATAGATACGTAGAAACTCTAGAGATTTGCAATTCTCGTTTTATTTCATTTTTCATTCTTACAAATGACCCTATGGGATACTAAAACAGAAAAACCAATAGCGTAATGTCATGTAGTAGATAGTAAGTATGGCGCCTACCGTTTTGGTAAGGTAGGCGCCATACTTAGCCGATTAGCTGCTTCAGACGAGGCGCCATTAGTGTCATTTGGTGTCACGTTGGAGGGAAATCAAATTGCCGCCTGATTTCGCAAAAACAATAGATTTTGACGGTGGGCCTTTCTATCATCCTTCCCATTCTGCGTGGTGTTATAATCTTTTCTCAGAACTATTGTAGCGAACATCGCGAACGCTACTGCGATTTCTGTCCAACGTGACGCCAAATGACATTGATTTAGTTAAGCCGCGTCCTGCCGAAGCAGCTAGCTGATCAGCTAAGTCCGGCGCCTACCTACCTGATTGTTGATTCGTCAATATGATACGTACAAATGTCAAAATGGTTTCTGTTTCTTGATTCTCTCTTGATTAAACGCACAAGCCCAAATTTCTCCGATGATGGATACAGTACTGATGCATACCGTAATCCAAGAATTTAGCAGAAGCCGCGCTCAGACATGAACTTACCAGCCAAGATCACAAGCCACACAATGCGTTTCATTGATAAGATATTCATAGTCTTCGCATTTGCTACATGCCCAACAGCACTGCTCATCCTGGAATGATATATCAGAAATTTGGGCAACACCAGAATGAAAAGTTAAGAAAGAAGAAGTAAAATTTACCTTGATCAACTGCTTTCTGTAGCCCGTTCGACACTCTAATGAACACTGCGAGAATGGAACCGCATCAGCTCCCCACCATAGCTCATCCTCATAAATAGTAAGCTAAAGTAGTAATAAAATTTTTTTTGCAAATTTATCTGTTGAAATGATGTTTAGATTTGATAGTTTGAATTGTCATTATTTTTCTATTCAGAATTTTTCCATGTTTACTTTTCTGGTGAAGAACACTCAAGTTCAAGTAGAGTATACTTTTTTATCTATACAGCTGAAAAAGACGTTCTTAAAGTAACATATTCTCTTCTTATCCGTTGGCAAAAACACAGTTACTGAGACGTGTAAGCAATTTTATTAGTTTTATACCCTTGCTTAAGCTCAAGTTAAATTGAAACAAAAACTTACATTATTTTCTGACCAGTGACCTATCTCCACATAATCTGTGATACCGCTAACGTCATCGTCGTCATCCGACACTCGCCTCTTTTTATCTAAAAAAAA